TCTTAGAGAGACCTTATCCATCTTTGACCCCGAGCAAGCACTTCCCAGACCATCCGATCTGCCCGGCTCCCAAGAAGAACAAGATCTGGCCTATGCACAAATGCGGCAGCGTCGCTTAGAATCAGATTGCGTCGACTCAGCTATTGCCCGCTGGCGGAAGGAAAGTGAAATGCTGCAAAAAGTTGGAGTCAATCCCATTCCCAGCAAGCCAATGGGAGCCCTTTTATACGACTGGCACACACAGCTCATGTCAAGGATAAATGAGGAGCTGGAACTCATCGAGGAATCCGAAAAGAAGTCACGCATGTTACCAGCGGATAGCCAACGTGTAGAAATATCTCCATATTTGAGAGCGATCAAAACCGACAAGCTCGCTGCCCTCACCATTCTCAGCACTTTTAATGCTCTCAATAAGAGCGGCGTGGATAAAGGGGTCAAGTTAACGGCACTGGTGATGTACCTGGGAAAAGCGATTTACGATGAGTACTTGGCGATGCAGTTGCGCGAATTGGAAAAGAAGTCCAAGTCTCCCAGGAGAACATCAGCCCTCATTGATAAGCTTGTCCACAAAGGCACAAAGAAAGCCCAGGTCCAATGGCAACGAATAATTGCGAGATTCGAGGAGAGCCAGAGACCAGTTGATTGGTCACCTGTTGTTCAAGCTAAAATCGGGGCTTGCCTTGCATCAATGTTGTTGTCGACTGCAACTGTTCCTGTTTCTACAAAAGATCCGAGCACTAACAGGACACAACGGACTGACCAAGCCGCATTCAGACGTGTTTACCAGTTGGAACGTGGCTTCAGAGTTGGCTATGTTCATGCCAATGATCATATCGTGGAGAAGTTACGCCGAGAGCCTCTTGGTGAATTGTTAGCGAAACACTTGCCCATGGTCTGTCCACCACGCCCGTGGACCAGTGCTCGAGAGGGTGGATTTCTCGAATACCCATCCGCGGTCATGCGAGTCAAGGCAGGGGATATTTCTCAGTTGAGCTATGTTGAAACCGCAGCAGCCCGTGGAGACCTAGATACTGTATTCGCTGGATTAACCGTCCTCGGCAAAACCGGCTGGAAAATCAATAGAGGGGTCTTGGAAGTGATGCTCGAGGCGTGGAATAGTGGCGAGGAAATTGCTAACCTTGCTCCTGAAAACCCAAATATTATCGAACCTGAAAAGCCCGAAACTGACGACCGAGATATTCTTAAAGATTACTACCGGGCAAAAATCCATGCCGCAAACACCCGCACAGGCTACCATTCACAGCGGTGTTTCCAGAATTTCCAATTAGAAATTGCGCGTGCGTATAGGAACGAAACCTTTTATCTCCCCCATAACCTGGATTTCCGTGGCCGCGCATATCCGATGCCACCATACTTCAACCAAATGGGTGCCGATCATTGTCGCGGTCTTCTATTGTTCAGCAAAGGTCGCGAATTGGGCACAAGCGGCCTGAGGTGGCTGAAGATCCATCTTGCCAACGTGTTTGGTTACGATAAGGCAAGTTTCCAGGAACGCGAGCAGTTTGCAATGGACCATTTGGAAGACATCAGGGACTCCGCCATTAATGGTCTAAAGGGCAAAAAATGGTGGCTTGATGCCGGAGACCCTTTCCAGTGCCTTGCAGCCTGCATCGAATTGACAAATGCGATGGCTCTAGAAGATCCAACCAAGTTCGTTTCTCACCTGCCTGTCCATCAAGATGGTTCTTGCAACGGTCTTCAACACTATGCTGCTCTAGGAGGTGATATCATCGGCGCGCAACAGGTGAACCTTGAGCCTTCCGATCGCCCCTCGGATATTTATACCGGCGTGGCAGAGCACGTCAAACAATCTATTCAAAAGGATGCAGCGAATGGCGACCAAACTGCAAAACTACTTGAAGACAAAATCACTAGGAAGATTGTGAAACAAACGGTCATGACCAACGTTTACGGCGTCACCTTCCTGGGGGCAATCCGGCAAGTGCGGAAACAGCTCGTGGACCACTACCCTGACCTTTTCCATTCTGGAGTTGCTGGTGAATGCGCCACCTACATAGCAAGGAAGATCTTTGTCGCATTGGGTTCGATGTTTACCGGTGCTCACGACATTCAATTCTGGCTCGGCGATTGCGCAAATCGTATCAGTCAGTCCTTGAGCCCCGAACAAATCGAAGCCCTAGCAGATGAACAGAACCTCAAGGTAGTAGGGAGGTTCCAAGGCGCCAAAAAAATGGCGAAAAATATCAAAGATCCTAAATACCACTTTAAATCCACTGTTGTATGGACAACTCCGCTTAAACTTCCAGTTGCTCAGCCCTATAGAGACGCTGCTTCCATCAAGGTTTACAGTGACTTGCAGCAACTCAGCATTCGGAACCCTCAGGCCAGCGATATTGTCAACAAACGCAAACAGCTACAGGCGTTCCCTCCTAACTTCGTTCATTCCCTTGACGCTACTCATATGTTTCTTTCCGCGGTCAAATGCGACGAACTCGGTCTTTCATTCTCCGCGGTTCACGACTCTTTCTGGACCCATGCAGCGGATGTCGATATCATGAACCGTGTGCTTCGTGATGCTTTTGTTCTCATGCACTCCGAAGATATCGTAGAGAGACTTGCTTCCGAATTCAAAACTAGATACGCAAATCACATGTACCTAGCCAACATTAAGCCTGGCACGCCACTGGCCAAAGCAGTATTGAAATGGCGCAAGGCCACCAAATCATCGAATAGCAAAAGGGCTCAATTGGATGAACTCGTTAATGAGTATAAACGATTAAAGCTTCTGCGATCTAACGATCCCGAGTTGCAGGCTCAGGGCCGTGAAATGGTTACCGCTGGAAAACTCGTTGCAGAGTCTGAAGATGCTGAATCCTCACTTGCCTCGATGCAGTCGCTCGGTGTAGCTGGTATCGGACAAATTCCTCCTGAGGGGTCCGAAACGCCGACGGGGGACCGAGTGGTGACGTCAGAAGACCCGTTAGACGAGCTTGAAGAAGCGGCTTTTGAAGCCGATACTTCCACCAAGCCAGATGAGTTCTCACTAAGTGAGCTTGGCAAGGAGGCAGCGTCTCCCGACACAAAGCCGAAGGCCAAGTCTAAGCCTGCACCTATTTGGGTTTGGCTGCCATTGACCTTCCGCACAGTTCCTGCAAAGGTATGCCTTGAATTTTCTTTTTAACATGTTTAATATGCCCCTTTCGCTGCAGCCGCTGTTATCGTTCTAATTTTCGCTTGCTCTCCTTGGCTTATTGTTTACTCACGCATACTCTCTTTATTACACAGGGCGAATTCGACGTCAAGAGACTGAAAAATAGCGAGTATTTCTTCTCGTAAACGATTCGAACATGTCTATAGTCATTTATTTCCCTTTGGATATGCCTCGTTTATCTGCACATACGTTTTTCTAGGCGCTGAGGAATATGGTGGGTAAAAGCAAACTATAGAGAGGAACGGAGCATCTCATCTTCGACATGTGCATATATATACCGGTGATCTTTTTGATTATCTCTTTATTTCATTTTTCATTTTATTTTTGGTATATGCACACAACCCCCGGCATTCTGTTTGGCGTTAACGGCGGTCAGCGAGGTTCTCATTTCGCTTTCATTCTCATTTTCTCCTTCTCCTGTAACCTATTTTAATCTTCCTACTATCTGTGTTTCCTATCCTGGACATATCTGAAAAGGGCGTCCGTCCGCTTTACTGTTATTTCGATGTATAAAGAGTTACCCCTTCCTTTTTCTTCTGGCTGCTTGACTAGGATATCTCTGTCCGCTGTTTTCTGGCCAAACGGGGACATGTACTATTACGCTATTCAGGCTATTCCGGTTGTCATTCCGGAACATGTTTGTATGGATATGAACTTCGAGAAAAGATGTCCATTGATGTATGATATATTATTCTATTGTATAACGTACGCATATTCTCAATTTCTATCCCAAAACATCTAATCTATACATATCATCCAACTTTTAGCGGTGTGTGCGTACCTTTTGTAGCCCTTCTATCACCTAGTCAATAATCTATAAAGCCGTTGTCCTTTTATTTATCACATTTTTCGCTGTCACCATTATATCGAAACCCGCCCTAACTACCTACAACCGGGCAGCATCCTTCCCTCTCGTCGTCCTCTCCATAACCCATAAAGACTCCGCCTCCACCTTGACCTTCCCATCCTCTCCAACAACCTGACCCTCCAAAAACCACTTCCTACCCTCCACCCCCTTGAACCATGCCTTAACAATGATTACCCCAGGAGTCTCCACAGGCGCTCGGAAAGAAACCTGCAGTTTTGCAGTGTATAGACGCGGCCTGTCCTCCCCACCACTGACAGGCATATCCTGCCTAAAGGCCTCGACGCAGTTACTGAGAGTTTCGTCAAGTAACGTAGCTAAGACACCGCCATGAACGGTGTCGCGGAACCCGCTTAGCGACGGCCCTAGCTCTAGGAGGAGAAGGAAGTCTGGATCTGCAGCTGGCAATGAATTTTGTTTAGTGGTCGGCGGTGCTGTGGGTAGCTTTTCGTCCCGCTGCTTCCCAGGCGCCCCAGGAGTAGCCAGCAGCGCTGCAGCCACTGGGTTCAATTCCGGTCTGCGCATGACAGCAACCAGTCGCGGGACTGTCTCGGGCGTGTTGATGACATTGCTGAAGAATCTATCTGTCGTGTCCTCCTCCCCTTTGTCGAAACGGGGGTGGAAGGGGATGACGCGATACGTGGACGGGTTGTTCAGAAACGGTTTGGCGCAGGGGATGCCTGAGAAGAAATTGATATCATCTTCTGAAACGGGGACGTTGTTGAGGAACTCGGCATATGTTGTGTAAGTGTGCGTTTCCTTTGGCATGGCTAGTGTTGGGGGGCCTGCGGGGTCGGCGCAGAGATGTTTATTGGTTTAATTTATCGTGGGCGGCACACAGTAGGATGTTTTAAGGCATCTGGCGTTGGTTCTACGGTAGGAGTATGTGGGTTTGATATTGACTCTGCAGGTGCTGATTGGAGCAATTCGTACGAGAATAGAATGGGATATTTGGAGAGGAAGATTTACTGGGCAGAGATTGCGCAAGGCCGCGAGGGGTTCAATCACCAGGATGCCAGGGTTGCGAGGTAGGTGGCTGGTTAAATTAGACTGCTCACCGTCAAGATATCCAACAGGCCTTTAACTATCATCGAACAGCTCACATTAAATGCTCGGGAAGCCGATATCACGGCCAAAGTGGGAAATAATTGGGTTCGGCTCGGCTATCAGGTTGGAGTTGCCGAACCCGTGCCATCCTTCCAATACTCTCGTCTTTGTCGTGACAGGGGTAAGTAAATATGTCAAATCTATGTATCTCCAGCCATCATCCCAGGGATTTTATTTGAGTGAACTCGTATTCTTATTACAGGAATTACTTCGATATACTATGCATAGCTTCACCGCAGCTCGTTTATTCCACACATCCTGCTCCCCTGCGTCCAGGATAGCGAAAAGGAGTGCTGTGGAGAAACTAACCGGTGGAGGACCTTTTTACAGCGGCAATTTGGAAAGGGGGCGGTGGAGAGGAAGGAGGAGGGGTGATTCAGTATGTTTGAGCCTACACAGCGAACTAAGCATGCATGAAAGGTGGGGGACATCAGAGTGATTCGATCAATAGCGGGGATTCTCTTTTGAATTACACTCTCAGTTCGTGTGATACCTTCAAAATCTGGCGGCGCTCTGCAGCTAAAAAAATGTAGCTATTGAACTATAAAGTGCGGGGGTAACTATGTATACAAAGAACTTAGAAAATAAATCACGCCTTCTTGGCCTAAACGCAGTCAATTTGGCGATGATAATAACAATGGTGGACATGGAAAAGTGGAGATCACCTGCAGGTGCATATCCGGTAAGTTATAGATTGGTATTTTTTAATAAAGAGAATGAAAGCTCCGAGAGGCGGCGACTTCACTTCCCCAGATGTACACCAGATGTACAGAGTATAACTCCGTAGAGTGCAGATTAGACAGGCCAAAGTGCCGCACGCTAATCTGCAGAGTACAGTCAAAAAGCCTTCCAGAATGATTCCTGGCGCTAATAAATATACGGTCGTAGGCATGGCTTGCGTCTCTTAGGTTAGCCCTGGTTTTGACTGGCATGAAAATTAATGATTTCCCTTTCCCTTGCTTTCTCCCCGCCAGGCATGGATAGGTTCCTAGCCTACATACTAGAGGGTTTTGGCTTATCAACAGCCTCTTCTTGCTTTGAACGATGATCCGACCGCGGGGAATGTTGACTCTTAGTTACTAGTACTTGGATGAAATAAGCTGGGCCGGCGATCGATCTCTCCTATAGCACCGATCTTCTCCGGTACATCGAATTAGTCAAGAGAGTCACTCGGAAGTAGCCTGATGATGAAGAATATATTTCATGAGTGTTTGCTCTTGACCGCCAGCCAGGGTTCTGCATGATCCTGTTTCCTTCTAGGAATCTTTTGAAGTAATGCAATTTATCCACTTCTTGCACCTAGTAGCGGGGCATGCCACGGCAGCTTTGGAACTGCTCTTCAGCAATGATGACTGGATATGCTGGTCAAGCTATCCAAAGGCACCACCAGTTCAGTAGGGCTAGATACTGTCACTGTACGGAGTAGGCCAGAATGTGCAACCTGACCCACACCCCTTTCCATGGCCCTAGACAAGCGCCGCATATCAGAACCCTTTCCTACAATGAACCCGGCAAGAGTAGCCATGAATTCATTTCAGAACAGGTCATCCTCATCTGAAGGCAGTTCACCAATACCCTCATATATCATTTATCGCGGAAGCTCAACTACCTGCTTGATGGAGATCTCGTAGTGGGCAAAAACCAGAAAAGATTAATAAGAAATATTCTTGCCAATGAAGACTTAGATAGAGAAATCGACATGTGAGGGGCTTTTGGATTGTGGGGAGCAAAGGGAAAGTTGGTGCCAATGAGATGATTGATGGTGTGCATGCATTATTATTACTCTTGATGTCTGCCCTGAAACACTGAAAGCTGCAGTCCAAAAAAAAAAAAAAAAAAAAAAAAAAAAAAAAAAAAATATATATATATATATATATATATATATATATATATAAATAAATAAATAAAATAAATAAATAAATAAAGGCAAATCCACCCTTTTTTCAGCCCCAGCAGGATGCGGCCAGCCGACGAGGAGGTTCTGTGATATTCAAGGAAAACGAGCAACTTTTGGGGTGAGTGAGCGCTGAAGGACGGATGGATGCACCCGCTGACTGCACGGGATAAGTAAGGTGGATGTTTCAGCAGGGCATGACATAACTATTGATGGTGAGAACGGGAACGTAACAAAAACATGGGATGGTTGGTGGAAATTTTTACTTGCGGATGGCGGAGTATGTAGACAACTTTTGTGATTTGAAGTTTTGGGTTTTTCTTGTAACATTCCCCGTGAGCCTTCCGTTTTCTTGTCCTTGTATATACCATTTTCTACTCTTCTCGTTATGGTTTGGCGTATGGAGCCTACGACCCCCCTTCTTCACAAGATATTGACAATTTGTTTTCCATACCCCTATTTGGCTCTGAGGCCTAAGCTGATGTATTTATGTTTGTTGGTAAACATGTTCAACCTGATAATTAAATACCCACCTTTTATGACAATCATTCAAGCTAATATGGTTGGTTAGATGTCTATGTTTATATCTTAAGCTTTGCCTTTGAAATATCTGACAAGGTTCTCAAGCGGAGACAATATCCTAGTAGTTGGTTTCAAGTTCGCCCGATATTGATGATGTGTCTGAGGCCCAATCTCGTATTCCGCAACCGTGGGAAATCGAACATGCGAATGGCGGTGCATTATTGTTTTGCGTGTGCTTTGTACACACAGATGAGTGGCCGTGACCAACGTGACCAAAACGTGGATAAATTGCAAGTTGGGGATCTCCATTGCTAAGCCTACATATTAAATTCGCGGTGGCTTTCATACCTCCTCAATGTTTGCGTCGCCATTGCTCGCGGGGTAGGCCCTTGCGGTTTCCCTCGTGGGTCTAGAGAGGTTGGCAGAAGGGGTTGGCAAAAGGGTTGGATGCTGCTCCGAGATTTAACTTAAATAGACCTGAATATCCCTATACTGACAAGGTATGGGCGTAATGGGAGCCGGGCTGGTGTGGGCGATACCTGTGGCTCTGGCGTTTAATCCAATGATTCGCGTATCGGCTGCGTAATTATAGGTGTTGTGGAACCCGGCAACACTGCCACTGGCAATTGTTTACCCAGCGCAGGGACGGAATGGCATCTCTTTATAAACCAAACATGTTCTTCTCACACGTAAAAGCTTGCATGCTCCGCCGGCTCACATAGCCTCCATAGTCCCGCATCCCTGGCCGCACTCTTGACGGCCTCCAGCTCGTTATCATTGATCGCACGATTGATTTCCGCATACCGAATCTCTTGAGAGCCAGATTTACCTCGTCGCTTCTTGCCAACATGCGCATCGGGGTGATATTGTTCCATAATGTGAATGTATAAATCCTTCGATACATTCTCAGCCAGCCAGCGCACAATCTCCACTCCTTCGTCCTCCATCCCTGGCATTACCAGATGTCGAAGTAGCACTCCCCGTTTGGCAATTCCGTCAGAGGTAAAGCTTAAATCTCCGACTTGCGCATGCATAGCTTTGATGCTCTCCATCGCCGTTTCCGTATAGTTGTCTGCTTTCAATAACCGCTTGGATGAGCTGGGTTTCCAGACTTTGAAATCTGGAAGGTATATGTCGATAAGACCGTCGAGTAGCTCTATGGATTCTAGCGAGTCAAAGGATGACGTATTGTATATGATAGGTATTTTGAGACCCATGTCCGCAGCGGTTAAAATAGCCAGAGCCACCTGCGGAACTACATGTTCCGGAGTGATGAAATTGATATTGTGGACCTGTCCTACATTCTGTAATTTTAACATCCATTCCGCGAGCTCCTCTGGTGTCAGATCAAATCCATTACGTTGATGAGAAATATCCTGAGATATATAAAATCGTTAACCAGCGTTCGATAACACCCGGAGAGCAGGCTCGAATCCTACAAAGGGAGGAAAAGAAATAAGAAAGGAACGAACGTGATTTTGACAAAATGTGCATCTCATGTTACACATTGAGAAGAAAACAGACCCGCTCCCTCTTGACCCCTGAATGCATGGCTCTTCCCCGAAATGCGGCGCAATCAAATTCACCTTCACTGTCTCTCCGGGTATTAGACAATAACCCGTCTTTTCATACCGGTTTACTCCGCACAGTCTGGGGCACAAATTACAGTTCCGCAAATGGGCGTATGCCTTGGAACGCTTCTTCGCGGCATCCACGGATGATATGAGTTGATGGCGCGGGATATATTCATCGAGGAGATACGGGGGTGCGAGATGTACTGAGCGGGTTTGACCTGAACGGCTGAAGGTCGGGAATGGTCGCGCTAGGGTTTTAAGAGGTAGAGGTAGACGCATATTAGGCGGAGTGTAGCGCTCCGTGCGATGTATCTGTATCAATGCTATCTGGTGATAACTATATCAGGGGAAGGAATTTTGATGCGAAGGTTGGCGCTTTGGTTGAGCCTCGGGATTAACTAGTTACGTCATAACTGAAAAAGACACACTAGTCCACATCCGGCTAATATATATCCAGCCCGGGCTCACCTCTTGTGGAAGAAGCGTAACTTTTTAAGGGGAATGAAACAATGCATTGTTGGCAATGTCTTAATGAGTCCTGACGCAGTGGAACTATTGAGATACTTGTTTGAAGAATTCTTCTTTGGAACCTCAAGGTAAGTGTGAATCTTATTCTGGTAATTCAATACAAAACACCTTGCTGAGAGACCATGCTAGAGATTCGATTACTTCTATCTACGAACATAAACACTTGGCTATGAGCTTATCTTTCGCATAAATAGTTTTAAAAGCATTGCATTTCCCAATCATGAAGCCAATTGTTGCGGTACCCGCGACCCTGGCTCTGGTGTATCGGGCCTGGTCCCGGAAGTCTTTAACAGCTATTGGTATAGTTGCTGCTGCGCTCACGGCTGTGGTGCACGCTTTACATCCAAGCTCCGCGCCGTTTGCTTTCCTCGTTGTTTTCTTTTTGAGTGGAACCTACGTTACGAAGGTGACGTTGCTCATTTCACGTACTGGTTTTCTTAGCTCATTAGGCGGGGATTACTTTTGCTAACTAGGGGGCCATATCCAGATAAAACATGATGTTAAGTCTCGATTGACCGTTTCTTCAACTGGTTCAGTGGGAGGTGAGGGACCTAGAACTCATGTCCAGGTGCTGGCAAATTCTGCAGTCGCGTCCTTTTTAATTCTTTTGGATCTGCGTCGCTTGCGGACGGAGAACCAGCCAGAGTCTGACTGTTTTCCGTACGGGGGAGATCTACTCATGGTTGGGATAGTCGCGTTAAGCCTAGCCCGTCAAATTAACAATATTTTGCAAACTTGCATTGTTTATATTTACTAAATACAAAATAATATAGCCACTACGCCGTTGTAGCTGCAGATACATTTTCAAGCGAACTCGGGATACTCTCGAAAAGCAAACCCAGGTTGATAACATCAATAACTTTCCGTAAAGTCCCGCCAGGCACCAATGGCGGTGTCACGTTGACAGGACTCCTGGCAGGTGCCCTTGGAGCTTTCATCATTGCAGGGACATCGTTGATACTTCCATTCTGTCCCATCGATCCCGCGGATGGCATAGCAAAGTCCGGTTTCGACGGCGGAAAAGCATGGGGCTGGCGAGAGAAAACCTTCTGGATTATCGCCGTCACGATATGGGGCACGCTAGGAAGCGTGGTGGATAGCATTCTAGGTGGCCTCCTCCAAGCTAGCGTTGTTGATAAACGTACTGGCAAGATTGTAGAAGGAGCTGGCGGGCGGAAAGTAAGTTCTTTGCAAACCCTTCCCTTCAAAACTTTTCGCCCTGCCATACATACTTAACTAAACCTCATCTCTAGGTACTTGTACACCCCGGTGAATCAATAATCACCGGCCTGGAAGAACCATCTAACAGAGAGGGAAGCAGGATCCGTGTTGCGGAGGATATTGCAAATATCCTGACTTCTGAGCCGACTCTGAGGAAGCGGCGCTCTTACAGTTTGGGAGGTCCTCCTGATTTGGAGCATGAAAGCCGCCAGATCGAGAGTGGGTATGATTTGTTGGACAATAATCAAATCAACGTTTTGATGGCGGGAATAATGAGCGGTTCAGCCATGCTTGTTGCATCGTATGTCATGTAAATGGCCGCTGGATTCACGTTTTTATTTTGCGGACACAACTCAGTTCAAAATATACATTTCATGTCGCGGTTCTATGTAATGACGATGGTTTAGTCGGCCTTCGCTGCGCGTGGCCTTACTTTAGCGTTACGTGGTGTCGTTCATATCTTTTAGTTATTACCATTTACCATTTGTCATTTCCTATTTACTCCTTTCACATTCTCATTTCCTACAATACAAGATACCTGTTCTGAACCAAAGGATAGAATTTTCCATCTTTTGCTGAATGTTATGTGATTAAAAATAGTAACATTGTTGTGTAGCGTTCGTAGTTCTTTTTAAAAGAAGAGACTAAGCAAGAACAATTGTACATTTAACAATATTCACCCTAAATTTATTATATACATTAATGTTGTATTGTCCAGGCAATGTAGTAGATTATGACTCTGCCAGCGGAAGGAAAAAAGAAAAACATATATTGATAATGACAGACAAATAGCATGCTGCTCTTGCATCTTGACAAATTTGTGGAGCTCAAAAATTGAATAATTTTAGATGTCTCGAACTAGGCGTGCACCTGCCCATACATAGATGTACTTGCGTTGATACCAGTTAATACTGTGCAACACAACATGTCAGCGAAATTCCGAAGATTTGCATGGCGAGATAATGAATAGAAACGCCTTACAATGTTGTTCGACCCGCGATCCGAGGATGGGTGGCCCAGGAACCCCCCAAAACAATGTTATGTTTTCCATCGAAAAAGTCGGCTGTTGAGTGTCAGCGACTGCAGCAAAATAAAGCATTGAGTAGCCTAGAAGGAAGTCTAATTACCTGAATAGCCTGGGTAAAGGTCCATAGCTTTGAACCCTTCATGCGCATGTAGAGGAGTGCTTGTCCATTCCCAGACGCCCCCCAGTTCACCCTGCCCGGAAAGTCTGTCTCCGTTTTGGGTGACTGGGGTAGGGTGCCAGTGTTTGAGCCCAACGTTACAATTTTCGTCGAGGTCGATATACACTGGCATGGGGTCTGCTGAAGGGCATTGAACAGGCTGGTGATCCGGTGAGCGAGGGTTTCCGTGAGTATCTTTAGCGGGTTCAACTGATCTGTCAAAGGTTTTCACGGTCCCGTTAGGCACGTTGCTATTTTAAACCAAAGTCAGCTATGTATTCTATCCACATCAATATGGTACATATTAGCTACTTACCTATGCCCGTTTGTCAAAGAAGTTGCTCCATTTCTTTGCTTAGATTTAAGAAACGCGGAGTACTGGTAAATGCTTCGAACTTCTTCAAAGGTGGGAATCCTGCAGTTGACAGATTCCGCGTACCCTTGAAGCTCATTATAAGAAGCCATCAACGGCCAATTAAGCGCCCACTTCAATGGTACAGGTCCGAAGACAGTGCGAACAGCAAATTTCTCCAGAAACTTCTTGGTCGCGCTGGTGCTTGATTGTCTTACCCCATTGGTGGAATAGCCATTGCAACTGTCATAGCCATTCCGTTTAACATCACCAGTCTTTGGGGTTAGGTCAATCCATGTCGCTGGTATGGTTGTGATGTGATGCTCTTCCAAGTATGTTGCATATTCTCCATTTGTAATAGGCCTGGCTTGCGCAGCAAAGGCTGAAACGTTCACGTTTCTCTTGGGCTTTTCATTATCCCAGCTGAAGGAGTGCTCTGGGATAACATGCTCGTTCGGATCATCTAAGCCAATAGATATCTGCTGCTCAGGAATTGTAAACCATGAGTTCTCCCTTGATTCTAACGCGGATTGGCGAGCAAGAGACTCAAAATTCGGTCGGAGAACTCCAGGGGGTGGTAGAGCCTTGTCACTCTGCAAAAGCATGTATAGGAATGTTTCAAGATGCATCGCTTCATGCTCGAAGCCAATCCATAACGCCTCGGCCAAACGGCGGTCCTTCGTTCTCTTCTCTAATAGAGCGAGTGTTCGGCTGCGAACTGCATCTCTGTAAGCCAAAATCTCTCCAAGGGATGGCCATTCGCTTGGGATGTCGGAATGATCATGGCAAAGTTCGGGATTATCAACATCTGGATCAATACCCCGCTCAAACATCGATTGGAAGTGCTTGGGTTCCGTCGGAGTGCCATCCGTGGCTCGTGTCAGGTGAATGTCTATTTTGGTCTCAGTAATACATCTCTGAAATGACTTGGAAGGTCTACAAATTTACCAAGAAAAGCTGGAATATGCCCAAGGTAAAAAATCAACGCGTTTCTTAACCTAATCGGCTTTGATAATAGGTCATCCTGCGGAATCATGGATAAAGTAACCATATCCCAGGTCTTCCAGAGGTTCTCGAAATCTGCGACATTGGGTATTACATTCTCTGCGTACTGCGCTGCTCGAGTTGGCATTTCCAGGGCGCAAGACGACAGAAGATGAACATCTATTAAAAAAGTTAACCGCAGGCTAAATGGGTTTCAGCAAACAAAACGCGCTCACTAGAATGCCCTAGAGCCGGAAATGCATGTGTTTCAAGGGTTTGGAAGCAGCCAATACAATGAAAGTGAAAGGCAGAAACGTACAATATTCACCGGTGTTATTTCCAAACTGTGCTATTGGTGTTAGTCCCGCATGTTGAAATAGGTCTTTGCAGTCCTTTGGCCCATATTTGAAGGCCTGCTCGAAAAATATCTTTTCACCCTTTTCAAGGACCACTCCATCGAAGGTAACATCCTTGTTAGGGACATAATATGCCATATGGGCCCCAGACACCACATCGTAGTGACCAGCCACGCCCCAATCTTCCTTTTTGAAGGCTTCAAACCCGAGAATAGAATTAGCGTGGGAAAGCCCTGTCATATAAAAGTCCCTGGTAACGCCCTGACTGTCGTTGTAAGCCTTATAGACCCTTTCAGGATCCTGACAGGAATCTATTCCAATCAGCATGGAGTCGGATGGCCCGAGCATCTTGGAAAATCGGTTCAAAAACTGCGCCGCTTCTGGACGAGTGAAATTGCCAATGGAAGATCCCATGGACAAAATACAAGTCGGATTTCGTCTATTCTCCGGCCTAGTCAACCAGATGAGAGCATCATCGTAGGTGCCGTGGAGCCCGCGGCATCGAACATATTTATAACCTCCCTGAGGGATTTCAGCGAAGGTCCGGTGAAGCTCCTCTCGGGATAGATCCAGAGCGAAATATTCAACTGCTTTTTGCTTTCGTTCAAACTCATCCAACAATATCTTGATCTTCCGAAGATTCCTAGAAGTATAGTTAAGTAGATGTCACGGGGAGAGGCGAGTTTTGGGCCCGTTCATGTCCTCGCTTGGAAAGGTGGGTGGGAAGGAGCATACCCGCTACCCAGTTCCAACAGCTGTGCATTTTCCGGGAGTTGGTTGACAATCTTGGCTGCATGTGTGGTCAGGGCCTCGATCTCGGCGTTGGTCAAATAATACTCATCCACATAAGTGATATCTTCAAACTGACGAAGGCCTTCGGTACTGTAGAGGAGGAGGGTTGGTAAGGACTTTGCGCCTCCATGCGAGGGCTTGAGCCCTGCGTAGATATCGTTGACCAGTGAGTCCTTGAGGTCATTTACATGGATGTCCATGATAGGTACGTTGCTCAATTTGGAAGGCGCCATTTTCGCTGAAGATTGGAAAAATATATGCTGTAGAATAGTTAACTGCAAATGAAATAGGGAAAATGTGAAGATGATAAAAAAATCCTGTTGTTCTGCGATCAGGGACGGAGAAAGATGATGAAATGTATGACAGAAGCTAGTGGAATGGATGAACCTTGGTAGGCGGGTCACACACACCCACATATATATATATATATACGGACTTTAAACCAGGCTCAAAATTCCGCACTGCTTCCCCAGGGAGCTAAATCCAATGTGAGTTTAAACGCTTTTGTCAAGGCGGAGATTTCCTCTTACATGTGCCGTCAGCCGGGGTGTGGACGATTGGAATCAGTCTGAGGGTCTGAGGGGGCTTGGGTCTAGAAATGAAATTAGTACCTGAATATCGGCTGAATAGAACGGTCCGTCGTCCTTAATGGTCACTTTACGGGGTCGAGTAGCAGCTTGCCGATGCTCAGATATCGTCCGCGATGGAGAGGGATGAGGAATAATTTAGCTCTGGTGGTTAGAGTTTCGTAGAGCAAAAAGCTTTCGAGGTAGGTTTATATCAGCCTGCTAGCTATCCATGTTTCCCAAGAAGCATAGTGATGCTCTGACCTGCTCAATCGCGGATACGCTGCCTTAGTCTCCAAACTTTCACCACACCGATGACGTAGAGTGAGTTGCTAGAACCTGACCATCGCTCGCCTGGAAACGAACAGCAAATTGGCAGAAGGCTAGGGTTAATTAAACGGGGCAATTGGGAGAACGTAAGCATCCTCATCCGGTTCCTAGCGAAATGTTGCATTGTGGTCAAGTCCATTGTGGTTTCTCCGCTTTTCCCGTGCTTTTTGATATCCCGCTGCCAGGTCCAAGGATGCGGGAAGCATGCGGGAGTAAGACCCATTGGATGATGACGTTGGAACCTGGAAAGTATAAGGTTGATAGAGTTGACGCTAATGTAGGAGTTGTTTGCATCGTTTGCTCTGTTTGGCTCGTTTAGCCTGTTTGGGCCAATTTGCGCTGCTTGCAAACATCTGTGGCTTCAAACCAACCATCCTTCATATCATATCTCCATAAGAGCATCCCCGTCCTCGTGTTCGAGCTGTTGATTACAACAAATGCTCGCACACTGCTCTTTCTGAGTCATACCCCTCGCCATTATCTCCGCTGTTCCGATTTTAGCTGTTCCGCCAACTTCCGCACCATCAGATCAGTGGTAGGATTCGGATGCGGAGTCGGAGTCACGGCAACAATTTCGATATGAAATGACAACTGGTGGATCTGGGAGATAGAGCTGTTATACTGATATTGCGTCTGTTTTCGCGAGCGCAGCGGGCAACCAAGCAAGTTGTCTTTGTCAATGAAGATCCTCTCCCGGACAGGCCATCCCCCGGCATACTGGGCATTACAAACAACCCTCAGCTTGGGTGATTCACTTGCCCCGTGGAGACACTTCACCATTCGGTCACGTATGTTGGAACCGATTTCCCCTTGATCAGAAAAATATATTGCTTTGCATCCCAGAAAACGGTAAAAAGGCTCTGGAATGAAAACCTTGAAAGGTCGGCCAGAAATAATTTTTGGTGATAGCTTGGTTCCTTGTGAGCTCTCCAGCGTTGATCTTAAAGCCACATATAGGCGAACGCCGGAGGGAGACGCGGGCCAAGCTCAAATACGCAACATCTATCATTCGATGAACGTCTTTAAATTCCTCGCTCGAGTTTGGCCTGTATCCTACTCAATCGGCGATATTAAAGGACCATGTAGCTAAGCAAGTGCTGTCTTTGCCTATCAACACCCTCCAGTTATAACGGCAAAGAAGTCATCGTACTGCTACTGTTCTCATTTGACTTTGTCAGCCATGAGTTTAACTTGTTCGCGATGGGCTGAAGACAAAAGATTCTGTGGACTTCATCTTCAAACTGCCGCAGGTTTCAATTCTTGGAGCCCTTAAATCCTTCTCTTCTCACCCTTTCACCTTACATAGTACAAATACCTCATGGCTTCTCCTATTCTCCTCGATATACATTGGATAGGCATGTTGCCTTTTTGAAAGCAATGGATGTTACCATTTACACTACATTGATCCGTGATTATGGTCACTTGACTACCTATGCTTTTTGTACATGCACGTCCAGATAGAATTCAATGACAATCGCTTAGTCCATGAGCAGTATATTGTCGCCCTTAAAACGCGCTTAATCTTACGCTACAGTGGACTTGATTTTCCAGTAGGAGGAAGATAAGGGAAGCTCTCCGAGCATTTGTGAAAAATCAAGACAATGCCAAATTAATATGTCAGTGTTTGTTGAATGTTCTATTCGGGAAAGGAATTTTGTTTTGTCTTTCTACTTTTTTCCGCATTGGGCGGTGCCCTTTGACAGAGCTCAAAGAGGCGTTCAAACAGCTCTTATGTTATGTCATCATAAAACCCTAGGTGATAAGATGATTACCATGTCTATCTGCGATGCCCTGATGTCTGTATAATGCTTCAATCTCGGGAATCCATGGAGAACAAAGTTATAAAGAACCATGTCATCTTCTTCGATAATGCCCTGGTTTTTCTGGAACTGAGCCATTCAACTTGCTGATGATGAGGTGAGCCTGCATTGTCTGCTCCCAAGTGGTGTTGATCCACCCAACTTTGATACCTCTGTCAGGTAAATGTCAAGACTATAGCTGCTGAGTCCCATTGAATACAACAAGCTGGATTTCCAGTGAGCAGTGGAATCTGAAGGGAGATGCCGAACCATGTGCGTAGTATTTAACGCGAATTATATCTTTAATAACGAGCAAGCTTTCCACCTTCCACATCTTCCAGGTTACACCGTCTTTGTTGTTGTTTTCCCCATCCTTCCCACCTCTAAACAGACACCTTTCGCAGAGGAAACTTTCTACAAATTGTCAAGCGTCCTGACCTCAAAGTGGTCTGCAATGATTCTACGGCAGAGATGGTTTTCGTCCCAATCTCTCAGGCTCTTGAGAAAGCTATTCAGAGCTATCCATTGTTTGATGAGCCTGCCCTGCCGGCCATGGTTTGTCTCACCTCGTACCAGCTGGTGACTGCTGGGGGAGTTGGATGCACTCAACTCTTCAAGAGCTGTCAAACAATTCTGTCCTCTGTCCTGGAGAGCGGCCGCAAGTTCTTCAAAGTTATCCTATTTCTATAGGCTAGTAACTAACACTTAAAGGGTTGGGAGCCCTTTGTTTGATGTGTTTGAGAGAGGCTTGGTTATGGATTCCTGGATGGGTCCCTGTCGCTATATCAAGTGGTATACACTATTTCGAAATTCTCCCAACCACTGAACTTATCTACTGCTGGATCTGTCACCATATCCTCTGATGGCGATGGCAAGTCGACCTATATTATGCGAAGTGAAAATCCGGCGATTGCGGCCATCTTCTACAATCAGATGAACACTATGGATTATGATTTCATTAAAGAGAAATATGTGAACCGGAAGTTGATATACAAAGATGGCCCCTTCAAGGTATGTTTTGAGTCTTTTGCTGTTTTTTTTCTGTTAATCAGACACTGACATTCACTCAGACCACAATTGTGACTACAAAGTCTGGCAGAGTTCGTGTTTTTAAGGCGTCTTGCAATCCCGCGGATGACCATCTCACCTTGACCTATACACTGCATGGATTTTGGGATCTCAGCATGTCCACTTACAACAAGGCCACAGCACAGAATGTTGCCAAGTGGCTTCTTTGCTACCCGGATCCTGCTCAAACTCTTCCCTTGAGAGGGCTGTGATGTTTCTGATGTTTTTCTTCCTTCAGAACCTAGAGAGGTAAATGATGATTTTCTAGCAGGCTCAGAGAATCCATACTAGAATTAATCTGTAATGGTGGTATCATATTGTGGGATTAAATTGGCACTGCAGAACGCTCGGAGTCAGTTCAATTTAAATCAAAGTTGCAGGGATTTTTTTAGCCGCACGCTCCCATGGTAGGATTTTGAGCTGTTTGTTTCTGTTGCTATCTTAGTAGTTGGCTTAGCTTGTTTCCCCATAACCAAGTCAACGGTACAGAAGCTTTGGATATTATTATCTTTGTATTTAGTGCTGAGCGTTTTCTGGCGACTATTGGCATTTAAGGGTTTGTCGACTCTGAGCGTCAGTTGATGATAAGCCAGAATGGAGACAGGAAATTACTCCAGTCCTCACCTGCCTTAGTTCTTCTCTCCCAGATGGGTTCAGTTGCCTTCCTAATTCGAGTTAGTGGTTACAGAGTGAGTGTCCTGTATATCACTCAGGTTATAACAGACTTGTACATGTACTGTAACTACATACATAAAGATACCTAGGTAGCAACCATGATGTCACATGATGGATACTCTCGCTTCCGAATGTCGAAAGCAGCTTCATATACAGAGTACATCAGGATAGTGTCACAGAATAAATCATGATAAATCAATACGGAAACTATTCCGATCTGCCGAAAGGGATTCCTCTGACAAATCTTGCGCGGTTTGCTTTGGTTAGGCTAAGTTTATATCGTCCCCGCGATCTTGGTCCACATTCCGGCTCCGCGAACTATCAATAATCGGCGAGCCACGAACCCCGCCCATGTATCAACAAGACTGAAGCCGCTCCCAAAACCTCCAAGTTCATTATACATTTGGTAGGGTCATATCAAAATAATATCTAGCTCGCTAGCCATAGTGAAAATGTCTGTAGAAACTTTGACGACGATTTCCCCGATCACCAACGATCCTATCCTCACCCGCCCAGGGGTATCTCAACAAGAGCTTACCTCATTGCCCCAAAAGGGGCAGGATGCCTTCCGTTCCTTTTCACGGTCAACTACCCTAGGTCAGCGCCAGGAAATCGTTGCCCGCGCTCTTGGACTTCTTTCCAAGAAGAAGGATATCCTAGCTCGCGAGGTGACGGAGCAAATGGGACGCCCGATCGCATACACAGGCGGCGAGATTGCAACAGCGATAAAACGAGGCGAGTACTTGAATCGTATTTCTTCCACTGTGTTAGGAGACGAAGGGACCATAGATACGGAGGCTGAGGCTGGGTTTAAAAGATATATTAAGAAAGAGCCGGTTGGGGTTGTGCTAATCATCTTTCCATGGAACGTATGTGACAATTCACCACCCCGCATTGTTAAGCCCCAATCCTTTTCTTATATTCCATCGGCTACATTTGTTGATCGAGTATATCAATGCTCTATCGCCTCCGTCGCCTTTTGCTCTTGCTAACTATCCTATTTATAGTACCCGTACCTGGTCCTCGTCAACAGCCTGGTTCCCGCCCTCCTTGCCGGAAACGCCGTTATTTTGAAACCCTCACCACAAACGCCAACAGTGGTGGAACAAATCGCTTCCATTTTCAATGAAGCTGGTTTACCACAAGATGTTCTACAATATTTCCACTGCGGTTCTCCTACCGACATTGAATCAATTGTTCGGTCACCTCTCATCAACCACGTCTGCTTCACGGGGTCTGTCGCCGGGGGTCTAGCTGTCCAGAAGGCGGCTGTAGACAGGATTGTGAACGTTGGCTTGGAGCTTGGTGGAAACGACCCAGCATATGTCCGCAGTGATGTTGATCTCGCATGGGCAGCGGAAGAGATTGTTGATGGTGCGATTTTCAACAGTGGCCAGAGCTGCTGTGCAATCGAAAGAGTATACGTTCACGAGACCATCCACGATGCGTTCGTCCAAGAGGCCAAGAAAGTCCTAAGCAAATACCGTGTGGGCGATCCGTTTGACGAGAAGACACAGATCGGTCCGGTAATCTCGAAACGAGCGAAGGAGGCCATTTTAGCCCAGATTGACGATGCCCTCAAAAAGGGGGCAGTGGATGAAACGCCTTCGAACTCGACGTTTGACAACCTTCCCAAGGCTGGAAACTTTGTCAAGCCCACCCTGTTAACCGGTGTGAACCACAACATGCAAGTGATGGCGGAAGAAACTTTTGGGCCAGTTATACCTGTCACAAAAGTCAGGGATGACGCTGAGGCGATCCGGTTAATGAATCAAAGCGATCTGGGCCTGACGGCGAGTGTTTGGACAAAAGACGTTGCTAAAGCCGAAGAATTGATCCAGCAGATCGAAGCAGGAACTGTCTTCGTCAACAGAGCAGATTACCCGAGTCCTGTAAGTGGATTGCAATTGCAGAGAGGAAAATTCATCCCCTTTCCTCCTCTCCAAATAATTCCACCCCAAGCCTCATCAACTTCAAGTATGATCCTCTGACATAACTTTATAGGACCTTGCATGGACGGGATGGAAAAACTCTGGGCGCGGTGTGACATTGAGCAGGTTCGGCTTTGATCAATTTGTCAAGTTGAAGAGTTTCCATCTCAAGGACTACCCAAAATAACTGCTTCCCTTTTATCATCCTAGCAATAGATTCATGTTTCACTAACCCAAAACATTTCTAATGGAATTAACCAACTATGGTGAATGTAATATGCGGCATAGGAACACTGGTGATAGGAAGCTATTTTTGGAATGTACATGTACATGTACATTACATGTGTATGTATGCTTTTAGCGCCAAGCAGGCTTTCCAAAGAATACCCCCTTTCAGTTACGGAGCACCTGTGCATTGTGCATGCATGCATGAATGCACCACTCTACGAGTTGCATAAAAACCCGTTCGCAGTGTTAATGATCGGTTTCGTGGCAAACGTGGGGTGAATCCATCTCCAAAAATCCACTCGCTCTGTGCGTGAAAACTTGGTGTGCAAACAGCTCTTATTCGGAGGCATGTTAACTGGTTTTGAAAGATGGTAGGTTTAAAATCGTAGATGAACATTCTCCTCCATATGACTCGTACTATTCTTTAATAAAGTCGGTTATCTGGCTCCTTCACTTTAGTCTCGATATCTCAACTGTTCCGTGAAAGAGGAATGAAGGTTGATCTATTGTCCTAAATTCTAGAAGTTGATATAGATTATATCCGCAAGTTCCTATATCATTTCGCCAACATCAGTGATTTTGTGTTGAGATATCATTCTGAGTCAAATAACGGAAGGGGGCAATGCCACATCTATCAACTTCCTAGAGCTAACATTTATGGCCTGTAAGCTGGTAACCACATCATGTTTCGAAGCTCGAAAGGTATCTAGTCACTCAACTGGCCGAGCCTGCCGGCCTCAGTTTAATAGTCTGGGTCGCAGCAGTCTATTTTTTGGCAATGACATCCCACAGGGCACGGGCATTTTTCATGGCCACGTTGATAGGGTACCTCCTGCATCGCTTTACTTCAATTGAAATTCAGGACTAAAGCTTTTGGCAGGATAGGCGAAGGGCTTTGGCGAGCTCTCGAAGGGTCGAATTCAGTTAAGCAGCATATTAGCTTATGGCAAGATTATCAAACCACCAGCCAACCTAGAAGGTCTGTCTGACGATAAATTTGAGAATAACGAGAACGCATGCCGAGGGGAGGGAGAAAGACGAATGGCAGACATAACCAGACAACAAAACTAGAGTTGTTATGTTAGGAGAATGACGCGAGTGCTTGGTGCAAGTATTCCCGGTGCGGTGAGAATACCCCCATGACAACAGTTGTCTGGAGTTGCTTGCGTTTAGTAGACCTGGGTGGCCTGGAATCTTGGCCAACTGGGGTATGCTTGAGACGGAAACCACTCGATATATAATCTGAGAACCAGGTACTCTGTAATCCGTACTCTGTATAACATATCTGCGCCAGAATCTGACATTTCCCCTTGATAACAGCGCTACAATCTCGGTCCCCGCCGCTTAGTTAGTGCCCTATTTGCTGACAGTCCACTAAACAGCGGCTAAGTACCAGGGACCGATTCCGTTAAAAACGCGAGGGCCTCTTGGTTGAGGTGAGTGATGCTCAACTTCGAAAGTCAACACGCCCAATATGGCTGTCAGCTTCTAATCTGTGTTCGACGCAGGTTTAGTTCCCTTGGCATTTTGTGTGTCCGATTACGCAGCGCAGTGTTATGTGCAGGAACACGCCAATCATTAAGTTATATGTCTCCGTGTAGTAGTTAGAGTACATAGGATCACAGAAATTCGGATGCGTCAATTCCACGGTTGCACTGAAAAGGAAAGCGGAAAGCCTGATGAACACGGCGAGTGAACAAAGGCTCGCTCTTCCTTCCCTGATGTCCGTCCGGAAGCACAGCCTTGGTAGGCTTGCGTCTCTTATCAATGCTGCATGCATCCCTTGTGTCAGCCATGCCATTGCCACTGCTAGCACACTCGCCCGGGAGCCTGTACCTGACTTCTGACCATCCATGTTCGATGTCAAACGATCTAAAAAAAGCTAACAGAGCTGGTTGGTTGAACAGCCCCAGTTGTTGGGGGACGGGCGAGTTCATGCGGGACGCAGTCAGCCAACCAGAACCCCGCCGCGAAGACAATCATAGAACACACAAACCTCCCTCGCCGTTCCTCTTGCACAGTAGTATGTTACGGCTGCACTGCGACGAGTAAAACCCCGCTCGCGCTGGCGCTTTGGGAAGAATCAGATTGGACCCTTCACTTGACCAAATCGTATACAATTTATTTGGCCTGTTCCCAGTCAGCATATGGGCTGGGCTTGGTCATACAGGGGTGGAGTTGCGGCGCGGGCAAACGAGTGAGCATAATAATCATTATTAGTTAATTCATCCTGGAGAGGGGGTAGCGCTTCGTGCCGCGCCTTGTCTGTGTTTCAGCATCCCCATTTTTATTTTTATTTTTCTCATGCAAATTCCGCTCTTCGGACCTTCTTCGTTTCCTTTGAATCTCTTTTGGTTTTCAGTTTTTCAGTTTTTGCGTGCAGTTTAGGCTTGCATTGATTGTAGTTTAACATTTGTTGGATGATACACTACAAGGCCTTGCCGAGATTAAATCACTCAGCTCTGTCTTTCTTGCCGCCTCCTTTAGATTTAATTCGAAAACACCGACTTTGAATTTGTCGACATTTTATTTATTTTCTTTGTGCCATTAAAGTTCTGTTGAATTGTGCAACTCCGAACCACATAGTCCGATTTCTGTCCCTGCGCCCTTCTTCCTTGGTCGTGAATTGTTACTTCGTTCCGTGATTTTACTGGGCGAGTTTGAGTAACTCGACAACGCGCTATAGCACACGCGCACACCTTCCAACTTCCCGCTCTTATATTATCAAAGTCGCCTCCTATCGAAAACACTAAAAAGCACCGTTGTAGAGTTAGGCTTTTGCCCTCCAATCTCCTAGCTTCTGTGCCATTTTGTCAAAGAGGCTAGAAGGATAGTTATGGACTGTTTTGGGGGTCTAGTACCATGGATCAAGTCCATCCATCGACGACGGCAAAGTACCTCAAAGCGGTTGGTGATTGTGAGTATTCACAGCGCGCAGTGGTCAGTTTAGTTTCATGCTTATATTCGTTGTCTCCGTCTCAGGGTCCTCCAACAGATTTTCGGCGGGTAGAATTCACGATGCCCCATTATGATAAGGAGTATGTCGTCCCGCTGAGTTGGCTATTTGCAAATAAGCCCATGGCACCCGATCCTTAAAATTGTTGCTAAGTATTCTGAACAGAGACGCTTTGTCGGACGAAACTCCCAGTGACTCCAGCGCCCTTTATCGTGTTTCGAAGCGAGAAAAGCTTTACCACGAAGCCAAGATGTTGAAGGAAAAGCTAACCGAAAATACGGATGTGGTCCGGTTGAGACTGCTGCGGCAGAGCATATAAACTATTGTTGCCGTTGACGAGAACCTACGAATATAGGATTTTTTATCCAGGTGAAGATTTGGGTCCATGGTTGGACCAACGACATTTGATACATATTTCCATGTATCATGACTTTTCGAGGACGAACTATGAAAATAAGTTACGAACAGGTCCTGGATACGACGTTTATGAAATATTTTCATTTTGAGCAGAGGAATATACCTTTTCTTTCTTGCGCGCCTCAGAATAAGAATGTCGGGACTTCATTGAGGCGGGATTTTTTGGATTTTCCATCTTTTTCATGGCGTTTATATGGCGAGGTTTCCGATAGTGATAGTTTGCGAACTTGGGATTTGTTATTGTTGCCTTCATTTTTCGTTATTTTCGTTGATTTTTCATCTTCCGAGTCATCGAATAAACTCATTATTTTACTTGTCCGCTTTGGCGGAACAAAAGCGGCTCGTCGGTGGCTCGTCGAGTCGCCAGGCTCATGTGATACGTTTATCCCTTCTTGTGGGTCAGATCGTGATACAGATTGTGTTCTCGTCTTTGTAGACAGTGAACCTGTCGCGTAGGTGTTACTCCTACTGGTCGCAGGCCTTGGGTTCGGTGTTGGTATCTGAACTGATTTCGAACGCCGAGGCTGGGCATCAAGATCATCGTCGTCGCCGGTAGTACTTTCATCATCAATGACATGTGGGCGAATCTCTGCTCCCGGTGTCGGTTGGGGGTGCCCATCCTGGCCCCTTTTACGACTTCCTCCAGCTAAGCCAACTGGCGCCTTCGAGAAACCCAATGCAGCCCGAGTTGTAGATCTGATCCTGTGCAAGCCGACCAAGGACTTGTGCTTCATCTGATATGTCATCAAATTCTGCAACGAGGTTCCTACCCAAGGATCATCATCTTTATCCTCTTCACTTTCGATGCCCTCATCCTCTACCTCAGAGTCGACAGGGGGCCGACCAGCAATTCTTTTGAGTTCACTCAGAGCAGCCTTGTGCCTGGAAGAGTTTTCTTCGGACTGCATGTTCTTGCGAGATTCGGCACTCAAAGTACTTTTCACACCCGTAGGTCGAACTAAAGCTTTTATTGCTTTGGCGTTCTTGATTTTTGTCTCGTTTTTCTTACGCACATATTCGGCATGGTGCAAATGACGAGTGAAGCTCTGTGCAGTCGCTAGAAATTCGTCCTCGACCATAATATACTGATCATCGTTATCTAAGCCTTCTTTCATAAACCTATATGCTGTTAGCTAGCTTGAAAGCGGCCCAGTGAGATGAGACAATACGAACTCTACAGGAGGTACTTCGCATGGCGGAGAGGTTGAAGGAGTTCGCACTATTAAATTAGTATGAAGATTCAAGAAACCAGCAAAGCGATTACATACCGATCTGAGGCGCGCCTCTTGTAGGGGTTTGCACATTACCCAATCCCGATGCTGTTGAAGACGTCGATCTGGATTGCCGTTTGGAGCTACTCGCAGTGGGAGTAGTGCTTTTCCTCGGTTTCTCGTCGACCTGCCATGGCAGTGTCCGAGGCATACTGCTCAGGAAGCAACCAGAGTTCTCTGAGTGAATTCAAGAGCAGTACGATTCTAGAGCGTGATGGTACCCAGGAGAACAAAGATCAACCCATGGGCGGATCCCCTTTGAATCAATCTATGTGTAGTTGCTTTTATTTTGTAAAGTAAGCGTCGTACCTAGCAAAATACCTCGATGGTAACAATGTAAACCGCACCCATCCCGTCTACGGTAATTCTGTACCATTTCATGAGGCTCCCGCAGCTGAGTTTGAAATGTAGATGGATGAGGCTCGGAACTGGAGGTTGGGGATAAGTTTACTCTAATCTCTAATAGACCTAGCGTAAAACCTTAATATCACAGGTTGCACCAATCTGGAATTTATGCTTCGTATTCTTGTACCCTGACCACTTACGTGCCTTAGCTTTTGAATTATTACTTGCTATTTTGAGTGAAAGAGCGCGAAGAAGCGGGAGAACATGACATGCATACTATCTAGTTTTGCCTACTAAGGCAACTTCAGTGCAGGGGAGAAGCGCAGGGAAAATACCAGTGGCCCACTATCTCTTCGTGCATGTAGAGTATCACATTTCCATGCTAATACGAAAAGGGATGGGTCGAGCAGAAGGAGGCAAGAAGTCCAGAGAAAACAAAAAATTTCGTAGTATCATTGGGCACGAGCTATTCAGCTTGTCGTGCTGTTCTAAATTGCAAAGTAACAGAAACTCCCAAGCCCGTAAAATCAGATTCAAATACAGAAATACCGGAGCCTGGTGCCATTCATCAGGTCTTCCGTGTGGAGAAATCCCAACCCCAATGTGCGCCTTTCCATGTTGCGAAGATTCAAAAACGGCCACCCAACTGCAGCACAAGCTTATACCTCACCCGGGCGCTTGCTATTACAACTCACAATTTTCACCTTATCCGCATGAACAGTGGTCTGATTATCGAGCTTGAAAGTGGCATCTTTAATGAGGAATGTCCAGACCTCGTCGCAGAACCGATAGGTATCCAGATGGCCCTTCAGACGAAATAACAAAAGATTAGCCCAAGTGCTAATTCTAGAATGAGAGACAGGTGGTCGGACCGGGAGAGGTATCCTTACCTTAAAAGAGAGTCTAGCTTTGACTTTATCTGCAAGGACCTCTGTTATGACGCGATCGAAATTTGACAGTATTTTCATCGCAAGTTGAGGCTCGATTCGGCCTTCGTTGATCAAGTCATCAAGCGTATCCGTGAGGGACAAGCCAATACTAAGAAAGCGAGGCGTGTTAGCCTATATTCATCCTGTGTAGTAAGCTATGGCATGCAGTACCTGCTGCCGCGATAAAGCTCATAATATGCCTGGGCACTCATTGTTGCGGCTTGGTTGGGTGTTTGTGATTGTCACCAGATGATTCAATGGGAATGGGAGATCAAATGGATCCAGATGCTCGTTCACGTGACTATCAGTTGATCACACGTGATAGGTTTATTTCACCTTAACGAAGGATACAACTTCATGTTTTCTCGCAGCAAAAATCGGATACCAAAATTTTAAAATGTCACATTAGTGCAGAGACCGTATCTACCGCACGAACCTTCCTCTTCCGTAGGCGCCAAGTTATGCATGACATAACCCATTGTGCCTGTTGACTGCCAACGCTTTTGATCCGAAGTATCAAGGACCAGGGGACGGAAGTTTCGCAAGTCTACCAAGACTACCGTCTCGTGAGCTGGCAACATCCCCGTGGGCATAATCCTGCTCTGTGCGGAAACGTTTAACCGTCCGATAGCAGTCAATGAGACTCTGCCCAAAAGGAAGGCGAAAACAGCAGCGCTAGTTACCTCTGTACTGGAGAAGGTGATGGGCGAAGGTGGTGTATCTGCTCTGAGTTGGAGGGTGGGAAACCTACGGCCATGAAACGATCAGCTACAAAGCAATATTTTTCGATTGTTTTGACCCGACAAGATAGGTATCAGTCGACGGAATGGAACGATGTCTTGATTGCGCAACCCCAAAACTCATTTGGAGAAATATGTATCGTTGGTCACAGGGAAACGACTTTGTCACCTTCAAGCATGGGAACGTCAGTGATGAGGGGCTCGAGGCGGCTACTTGACTATCTTCGTCGGATGGTATCGCATCCCCGCACATAGCGAATGCCGCTCTCCCGTTCAACCTGTATCACATCGCCTAGTGGTAAACCCTGTCTACAAGATGACTCGACTTTACACCAGAGTCTTAAATACAACCGTTGGTCCTAACGTATTATTTTCCTGTTTTCATACTTCAACGGGAGCGTTGTCCGTTATTTTGACTTGTGGGGTGGAAGAATGAATGACTTCCACAATTCAGTAGGACTCGAGTTTGGTTGATCCTGTATCCTTCAATACAGTACGTTGACCCATCCCAATTGGAACCTTCGTATTTGGAGAAGCAGTATCTTGTCGCAAGCCCGTTATCCAAGGCCAGAAACTTGCTAACTTCTTGGCGAATACGCAGACAGAAGGCTTGCTCTCAGCTTTGCAGAGTTTTCGAATCCAGTCAGGTTCAGACAACCACATAATAATTAGGCAGACTTGGCAACGCAGCGTGCGAAATCAACAGGGCCGTGTCTATGAGTTTCACAGGCAAAATGCACTCCAAAAGACTGAGCATTAATCTGAACAACGACCAGGATCGATGAAACTTTTTTACTAAGGTTCGATACCAGATCATTTCACCCAGAAAGGCATCCTCAAAGCAGAGCGTTCGCTCATAAGAACCTAGAATTAAGGAACCATACATTTCCGTTTCTATACTTTTCAACCTTCCAAGATACATTCCGTTTGGCGAAGCAAAGTGTATGATTCTAGCCTATCTTTCCCAAAGCTCCAAAGAATGGTATCGTCATAACTCGGTGCTTTCAATAATTCCCATTGACAATCCAGAGGAGCGCAATTCCTTCCGCAAGAAGGTGGAGAATGAGATTGCGTTCAGAGTTTGCCAATTAGAAGTTCCGAATCTATCCTAAGAACACCACAACATCCAATCGCTGCTACCCGAATGAAAAGCTTCAATAAAAGTTTGGCGACTGGAGTATCAGAATTTTAGATGAATCAGTGTGGGCACGTTGACATTCATGTGGTGGTATTTCAACCATGTGAGCACGGTTTGTACAAGGGATACTGCCGTTTCCTCCATGCTTGCACTTCCCAATGCTTGACGGGATGGATCAACGTTGGATATGACATCTTTATTTCTTTCTAGTCCACACGCTTTAAGAAGCAACAAACTCTTACCCATTGTGGCTGACACTTCTGGACGAGCTTCCGTTTTCACGTCACCATACCCCATCTGCCAAAGTTACGAGGCCAAACCGCAGACACGAGGATCTGGGATCTGCACTCATCCAAACAAGATCCGAAAACATCTGAATAAATCCAGGCTTCAGTAAAATGTAAGACTGAGCTTGTCGAAAAATACGAACCTTTGGCTGGGTAGTGAACATGAGCAAACATTAGCTCGGCTCGTTGAGTATGTTATGTCTTAGTTTCGACTCAGCCTCACAAACTTAAGTCGACCTTCCGCTGGCAACAAAGCTTAATAATATGCTAATTACATCCGATTCCTTTTGAGGTGGTCAGCGTCTAAGATATCCAAGATATCTTTTTGTCAAATCGACCAAGGACCCTGAAGAGGAGCTTTTCGAAGGAGAGCTGCACCGCCCAAAACCCTGATTGAGACACATTCACTTTTGGTGTGAGCCTTCAAACCAACCGTTTCAAGGACATTTATGCCTAAGAAATCACGACGCGCTATAGAGCCCTCCATCACCATGCTTGCTGACCATGTCGACTAATATGCATTCTAGGTCTTTAGTGCAGTGATTGTATGCATTCTAAGCATCTGTATCATTGTCTGGGGGGCGAAGCACGTTTCGCAATCTATTCATGTCATGATCTTTGTTGGCTTGACTTTACCAATCCATGCCAGTTATTGGTCTAACCAAGGCGGTGCGTTGAAGATGATATTCTCCTCAGACCAGGAGATAAAAGGAGGGAAGCTCCCAGCTCATCGTAGCTTTAATGCTTTGATCCATAATCGTTATCAGACTTATCTTCGTTCCTCAACGGGGCCCCAACTTCGACAACGATAAAACATTCTCCGCAGTTTCAAATCTTTGCCCTGCTATAAAAATGAAGGCATCCTTTGGAGTCTTGTTCACGCTAGCCCTAGCTTTTGCACCCTTCAGGTGTGTTAAGTAGACATTGGTTAATGTTTGAAATATAATACTATATACTTGACACACTCCGTTTCTTTGCCATATCACTCCCTTTTCATTTGAACTCTTTCATCTTGCCTGTCAACTTCATCGCCCAATCTCCAAAGCCCTCCCCAATAAAGCTAACCCCAGAGGCACGTACAGCTCCGCTAGCCCCGCTCCCGCAGATGCAAGAATCACTCCGCCGGCACAGTGCCCCGAACCCTGCTACACCCATACAACCACTGTTGACCAACCCTGCTCGGGGACGACATGCATTGTCAACCCGTGCATCAGCATCACAACCTCTACCACTCCGTGTCCAACCTTGTCATGCCCGAAGACTCCCACCGTGACTCTTCTCAGGCCATGTCCTACCACTTGCCGGATCGGGTGCGAGACGACCACGAAGTACGTGCTACCAAGTATCTGCCCTCATTAGGGTTCACAGGTGGATATTCAGATATGAAGGAATTAGGGTAGGATAACGGCCTAGGTACAATGCTGGGGCCTCTGGCGATTTTGAGCTGGTGGAGGCAGGCAAGATGTATATAGTTGTGAACATGGTGGCAGCATTGGTAGATAGTAATGGCAGTATCTGTATTTACTCCCGCCACTTTTCACTTATTATTAGTTCATATGTGTTCTAACAGAAGTACTGTAGTAAGTTTGATACATTGTAGAGATTAACCGCGCCAAGCACGCCCAGGGCGGGCGCATTCACTAATAACTAATAAGTTAAAATACTCCGTGCTTGGCACAGGTAGTTAGTTACTAGTATTCCCCTTACTTACGGATTGAGTTGAGGGGAAGATCACAACAACCAAGACATCGAGGGCTCAAGGTTGAGTGTTCTTCTGCCTCACCAAACAATCAGTTAACTGGAAGGTGGATTTAAATTACTCGGGTGAACTACAGGCTGATTGCGATCACGGTAGTCATAGGTTTGGCAGAGCCGAAGAATATCGAGCATCCCGGCTGATATTCCAAAACATCTTCCGAGGTTACCAGGATATCACCCCCTCTCTCTGGCCCTTACTCTGCACTCCGTGAGATGGATGCTCCGTCCTCGCATGGCGCGGATCCTCTTAGCACAACATGCCCATCCGCTCAATCCTTTCTGGACATGTATATCAAGCTTAGGAGGAGACTGATCACCAATTGATATTCCAACACTCAACAATCACCTTCTCTCTCGTTTAGTTTTATTTTTAGTTTTATTTTTTTTGTTATCACAGCTTTGAACGCAACATGGATTCATCTTGAGAGCAAGTAAGACCCCATATGGAAGCAGACTATGCATGATCTCGCCTGGGGGCTTGGTTGAGAAACCAGGTATGTACCGAGGCGAACCTGACGCCTGGGTATATTGTGACAGGTTCTCTTATGACGAAGGTGATACCGTGTCTCTGAAAACGCATACCACGGCGGAAAAATACGACATTGAGATCATACGGGACGGATATCAACCCAAGTTCGTTTTTCTAAGGACTAGCCTACCTGGCAGAACGTGCGATACCCCACATGATGCTTACGCTGTGGGCTGCGGTTGGCCGGAGGCCCTCTCGATTCATCTGGAAGAAGGCAAATGGGAGTTTGCATTTTATCTTGTTATCATTCCCATACAAGAATTCCATGGCCGCGTCTACTAGCGCCATGGTTTCTTTATTGTCAAGGACAAACTATCAGGTTCAAAAATGACTGTGACAGATCTGTGACTTTTTATATCTCTTGCTTTCTCTCGCTTTCTGCAACAATAAGCAGTTCAGATATGAATGAGCTTCAATTATTACCTCACAATTCACATGTATGTTGAGACTGTCTAGAGTTTCAAGTACATTATATGAGAATAACCTATCTGTTTTCATTGAATTGAACATATTGATCAGACATACTAATATGAATGACAGCATCTGAAAAAGAAGATAAGTTCAAGTATATCTGACTCTTATCTAAACCAATCTCAGAGAGAAGTCGGTGTATTAAAAGATATGAGAAAAGAGAGAGTCAGCAGTGAAGTCTCTTCTGATGAAGCTTACAGAAATTTGAAACAGCAGAATTATAGTGAATATCAGCACTTTGAGACTACTGATTGTGAACAGAAAGATAAGAAAGTGTATAGTTTCAGTTATGACTTAGTCAACACTTGTCAGCAAGGAAACCTGGCAGCATTGAATATGTAATGATATCAAAGCATTGACTTCATCTCTAATGATGGAAAATTATCAATAGAGAGACAAGACATCTTACAGTGAGCTCTGAGCCTTCTCATGATCCCAATTCAATAGACTGATGCAGTTTGTGATACCTGCATGCAAATTTATCAGGGAACTTGAGTTTCACAATGTTGAATGTGCAAGTTGTACATACACCTACATACAACCTGGTGCTTCTCCTGGGTGCCGATGCCATGAGGTTGATCCACGAGCTAGAACTGGTCCAAGGGAAAGAAGATTTGGCATTATATATAATTATCTCGTGGGGATTTTTGGCGAATGAATGGTGAGATCCGCAACTGCAGAAAAAGACAGCGACTCTTCCATTCTGACCATGATTCTTTTAGCATCGTCTAGACGGCGTCAGTCTTGGGTGTCTGGACTTTGGCGCTCAACACGAACTATACCATTTTGACCTACGGACAGGCTCTCCTGGTGCTGATGTGCGGTGTTGGTATCCTATTCATGCAACCATGGGCCACTAAATATGGAAGAAGGCTTCCTTTCCTCTTGAGGTCACTCCTGATCCTGATTGGTCTTGTGTTTGGGCGCATGATGACGGATATCAAACTCTACTCAACAATCAATGTGGCATTTCTAGATGATTCTTTTCTCCACGAAAAAGGGAATGCGATCAGTATATTCGTGCTCGTCATTGTGGCCGGTAACTTTCTTCCACCTCTGGCAGCAGGGTACATAGCAGATGCCCAGGGATGGGAATGGTGTTTCCAGTATCTTCTCATTTTCTTTGGACTCGTGACGCTCCTGTTCGTTTTCACTGCCGACGAAACTTCTTTCGCCAGGAACGATTTTGAATGAAGCGCGCAACCTCACGCGACATGACATGGAGCCAACACAGGCCCAGGAAAACAAGCAGGCATTTCACCATGATGCAGAGAAGGGTTCCCGATCCTTTGCCCTAATCCAAGGCTCCCACACCGGACGATCAACCCCTTCCATATCTCAAAAGAATGTCCCTCTCCAGAAGGAACCACGACGTTAAGATCGGATACTGGAGGTTAACATTTTCCATGTTCGAGTTAATCGTATTGCCGGCACCCACTTGGACGAATATCCAATTCAGTCTGGGCTGGTTTGTGGTCATGTTGGTCCTGACAACTTTTGCTGCCTTCTTCGCGGAGCCACCATACAACTTTAGTCCGTCGACACTTGGTTTGATGACCCTGGCCCTGCTAATCGGGGCCACATTCGGCTCTCTCTGGGGCGGGCTATTCACCGACTGGCTGCTTCTGCGCCTTTCCAAAAGACAGGGTGGCATTTATGAGCCGGAACACAGACTTTGGGCTTATCTCCTCATGCCTTTCACCGGAGCAGGTGGAGTCCTGCTGTACGGCTTAGGGGCAGATAACAGTCTTCATTGGATTGTCCCATGTCTGGGACTCGTCCTTCTCGGATTTTATCTTAATGCATCCGCGACGGTTGCCATGGGCTATGCGCTGGATAGATATCCGGATATGGAGGACGAGATCGTGCAGCTCTCGAATTTCCTTATCATCTGCGGAACCCACGACTGTTGGTATACAACCCTGGCTCGAATACAACGGTCGCCGTGATAACATTATCATCATCGCAGTGTTGGTTTTCGTCATCAACCCTCGTCTACCGGATTCCAGATTTGGGGGGAACGGATCCGAACAAAGACCGCGGAGAGGTACTATATCCTCCACCATCGCTCGATGTCTGGCAGAGATTAAGCGCGGAGAACAGTTTTGTGAATCGTGGTAAGTGGGACGTAAGCTATTAGGCCAGAATGCCATGGAATCTCAATTCAACATGTAGTAGTCCAACAAACCAGAGCAAGACCAAGAACATTGAGGCTAGCAAACCCGGCCGCAGGGTAATCGTCTTCTCAAAACTTCGATTCGTGCTGTACGATATCTTCAATGCGACTCATGAGCTCGCCTTGAGATATTTCCAGGCACAGAAGTTACTCCACCTTTCATAAAATAAGGTTACAGTAGCCTGGGAAGTTCCTCGCTGGTCCCACTATCCTCCAGCTCATTCCGCGCCACCCCACCCAGCTTTCATTCGAATGTCAGATGCCATTGGTTCGTTTTGCATCATAATAACCACACCTTGTCTGGAGGTACGGTAAGTTACTGTACGGTACGTACTTCTTTGGCGATGATACGCCATGTAACTAGAATGTGGGACACGTGACTGTAGCCGAGCAGCTACCTACCAGCGCCCACCGAACGCTCGGCCACCAGATCTATATTACACAGTTCTTCAACAGTGCAGGAAGATATTTACATTAAACATTGATCTTTAATAGATGAAATAGATCATATAAATTGCTATAGTTAATTTGTAAAGCCGTTGTTGAGCTTAATAGTTCATTTAGGCTGAGATGTAGATATTGTGATATATATAGTGGAATTATTTAACTAACGTGATACAAACTGACAAAATATCATCACAAAAATACTTCTTGAAAAACATGAATATCTTCAACAATTCAACTCAGATGATATAGAAACTTAGAATAAGATATAGTAGATTATCGCTTATCATCGGCCATCTAAAGGAATTGATCCTAGTTATCAAACCGAACTGCTGATCTATCTTTACGAGCCATCCCCTCACCTCGTAAAAAATCTCTATTGGACAAAATATGTTAGGGGCCACGCAAGGCTGGACCGCCCTTGAAGATTTTTAGAGCCTGAGGATGCTACGTACGAACGCAAGGCTGGACCGCCCTTGAAGATTTTTAGAGCCTGAGGATGCTACGTACGAATCCATATCCTCCTCCTACATGTGCATGAACAAGTACCGACCTATCGTCCAAAATATCCAAGCTGTAAAACAAAATGGGCCGGACCTAGGGTCCATTTGTGTGTGCTTGAGAGGCTAACTTTCTAATTTTAGACCGTCCGATGCATGCTGCTGCTGCAGCAGTTCCCTTTCTGTCAGATAAATTGGTCGTGCGGCCGGAATATTTCAGGAACTTTGTCATTTTTAATCATGCTTGATTAAACTCCAATTCCCCAGGGCCCGATCACAGATATCAAACAATTTAAACAATAAGATAGAAATGCGGTATCTATGTCAGTCGCCGAAGTGTTCATGGACACATGCATACAGAAAAAATAAAACTTCGCCAGAATGGAAGAAATGAAACGATAAATGGACATAAAAGGAGGGACAAAGGCCCGAAAGGGCAAGGGGAAAGGGGCAAAGGAGAGTGAGAAATAGAACGAGGAGCTTGTAGAAGCTTGTTGGGTTACACGCACCGGCGCCATAGAGAAAAACGTGATTAATAAATAGAAGCGCCAGAACTGAGAAAATTAAAAAAAAAAAAAAAAAAGGTGAACAAAACACCAGAGGTCTCGCAACTTTTATGCAGTTATCAATCAAAGATCAACAAATAACCAATGGCAAGACGAAGCAGTTTTAGTAGGCCTTTCACGGTTTTACCAACCTTTAGAGATAGGAAAGTGAGGGGAATAGGCGTACGCAGGAAGGAAAGAAGAAATGAAAGTAGGGAGGAAACAAAGGGTGGAAACTCCATCTGGTATCCCTAACCACACAATTCACCAGTTCATGTGCATTTAGCCTGTCACGCTTCCGAACGTTTTTTCGGCTCACGGAACCTCTCAAAAGCTCCTGACACGCCCGCTTTTCTGGCATCACCACGCCCATCACTTCTCTGGTCATCTGTTTCCAGTAAGCATACCAGCTAAGACACCAGCTCCGATAATACCGCCATCCGACGCCTCCCGGAGAAACACTGACTTGCCACTCTCCTGTGGGCCATCCCAGATCACCAATCGGTCAATGTATTGTTGGCAGGTCTCCTTGAAACGCGGATACCGCTGAATGATGCCACCCGTATACGCGACAACTAGTTCCTCCGGTCCGGACTGCCAGTTAGATGGCACGGAGTCGATGATAGGAACACTACGGTCGTCGCTACCAGTCTTACCAGCCGCAGCAGCACCATGGGCGGCTAGTTTGGAGTTCACGGCATTTACGATATCGTTTGGGGAGGCTCCGTTGTTGAGGGACGGATTCATAACGTGTAGTTCTGGTCGCGGAGTTGGATCGTTGTAATCACGCAGCTTGAGCTCCCCCTTACATGCCAGCAGGCCAACGACAGCGGCGGCAATTAGTCCTGCAGACCGTGTCTGGACAACCTGGGAAACTCTTCGGAATGCCCGCGCCGAATTATTATCCCAGCTCCAATCGCTGGATTCGGGTGGGGGCAAGGTTTCCGTGAGGTATCGCACCAGCTCGGAGTCCGATTGTATTTGAGCAACAGATTGTGATAGGTAGGTGGTGGTGAGAGCGTACTCCTGGATAAGATTCGCTGGTAGTTCCTTCTTCGATAGACCAACTACGTTCGTTAGATAGTCGTAAAATATAATCCGGACCAGTTCGCCAATATAACGGCCGCCAGTCATGTACTCAAAAGGTTGGAAGCCCGGGCGGGCGCAGGCCTCATCTAATTTTGTATCCCATTTTGTAGTGATGTTGAGTTCACGGAGGGGTGGTGCAGCACCATTAATGGTCCATTCAGTGTTAATTATCGTTTCGACAGCGTCCGGGTGTCGCGATGAAACGTGTTTTGCCTTAGATTCGTGCAGATCTTTCAAGCTCATGGGAATCGTGGCATTGCAACCGGTCCCAACAATTATACCCATCGCAACACGGCTGTTCGGTAGGGATTTCACCAGATAGGCCAGCGATGCTAGAGTAGCAACTGTATCATTGGTAATTGCGGCAATCTTTAGTTTTGGTAGCGCAAAGCGTTTTCGTCGCTTAGCCGACTGCTCTTCTTCTCCAAATGGTCGTCTTGTATGCCTATCATAGCCCGCCAGCAGAATACGGCCTAAATCGAGATTTGAAGTTATCGCAAAGCCTTTTCCCATTGGCATAAGCCGCGCTTCCTGGATTGACTCTTGCCTATTGTTCACGGTTAGTATTGAAGCAAACCACTGCTCCGCCGACCGAGTCTAAAGGAAGGGCACCCTGTATCCAACAATACAAAGTGAACATGATTGGAAGAAAAACAAAAAAAATAAAAAAAATAAAAAGAATGTTAAAAAAAAAAATAAAAAAAATAGGAAAACTGAAGGGTAGCACTTACATCATTGGAAAACTGAACGTAATGCCCATTTCGAGCTCCTCCGGGATAGGGGTACCGCTCGCCAGATTCGGCGCTAAGCTTTCCGCCACCACCTCCGCCATACAATCGCCAATCCATAAGAACAAATCTTCCGCCTGGTCCCTCTTCAGATGCTCCCCTATAGGCCATATCTTTTCTAATGTCCGATTCACCCGTTGTCTCTGCGCTCTTCGCATTGTGTCACGTGATGTCGGAGAGTTGGAGTTCGTCGCATCTCCATCCTTCGACTCCCCCAATAGTTCAATGAAAGCCACTCTAAGATTTGTCCCCCCAACGTCAATCGCCAAATATCTGCCGGTTTCCTGACCGGTCGGTAGTCTTGTTACTGGAGTGGGTAGAAATTGTTGGGATGAGGTTCGAGCAAGATCGCGGTATATATGTCGGAAGCGGCAGGCGAGTTCATGCAGAGTGTTGTCTGATACCATGAGAGGTCGTAGGAATCTATCGATGGTGTCTTCGCGATTTTGTTGGCCGGTATAACCATTATCCATTCCCTGGTCAGTGTAGGTGCCATCGTAAGACTCGTGGTCTAGACCATGATCAAGGTCATCCATAACACTATATTGTGACATCTTCCAATCGCAACGGTGTAGGTCGCAGTATATCAGGATTGTTGCAGGAAAAGGACTTGGCTAAAGCAATAGGCGCAGGACAATAAGGAGGAGAGGCGGAAATGGGCTAAACTCGAAAAATATTAGGAGGCGGGGTTATTTTTTATCAAACTACTTGTAACTTGTTGCAACCACGGGGGTTTAATCAGCGGGCGTGGGGGAGTTGAAGGAAAGTCAACAGAAAGTGTTCCGCAGCCGAAATAGCTTAATTGCAAGCGTTAGACCCCCAAACTGACGCGGATAGGACTCTTCAGAACAGAAAATTCTTAGTTAAAAGGGTAGATGCGCGGGGTTGAAAAATGCGGCTATCGAAGCTCCGAGTTGAGACCTCCGACGGTGCCGTCTAGTTGAACTATGACTGATAAAGATGAAACAGCGAGGACAGGCAATATTTAATGTAGATAAATGACGGAGACGTGGAATGATCGTCCGTGAACGTCTGGGAAGTAGAAGTAGGAAAAGCGGAGGAGGTCGTCGGCAGATACGACCTTGCAAGAGATGGGGACCGGTTGCTTTATACACCGATGTGACCCTATGGAGGGCAGGATGGGGGGGGCCTCGCAGCAGAAAGCGAAATAGAACAATTGCGCTGGCGGGGAGAGAGAGACACAGCAGTAGCGAAACCAGCACAAAAGCTGGTGAATAAGAAGAGAGAGAGAGCAGGAGAGGATGATCTGGTAGAGAGATAAAGGATTGTGCTGTCCTGAAGCTGGTTTGCAGCGGTATGTCGCCTGCTGCTTGGTGGTGGTGGTGGTGGTGGTGGTGGTGGTTGGTGGTTGACTGTGAGTCTGCCCGCGCTCTTGGTCGTACCGTAAGTTATTTATTTACTTAACTAGTTTAGTTATAAGTTATTTAATATATTCTTCTCCAAAGTCAACAACGTAACGTCGGCCATGTCCATACAGTAGTTAATAATAATAAAGGACAGAACAGGATAGAATCGCTACAGAACACATGGTTATTTTTCATGTTTTATTTTTAGCCTCATTTTTATTTTTCGTTTTTCATTTTTCATTTTTACTACTATCTCAATCCTCCGGCTGCTTGGATCCCCCATTCTTGCAGCGAATTTCGCAATCACAAGATGAGCACAAAGCTCACTCATAATGCAACATGGCCCAGGCTGCTGGCCCAGTGATGTTCACGTTACATATCAACCAACTCACTCATCAGCAGAATTCCCCATTTATTTCTTGTCTCCAAATCCTCCAACAAATTAGTAATAATAATCGAGACCAGCAAAGCAAACACCCATGTGCAAAGGAGTTTGAGACCTTCTGGCCCTAGCTTTTTGGGTTCGGTTTGTTGGACATATTGTTCCCCCCTCCCCCCCCTTCAGATGGCGTGAACCTCAGGCCTTCAAAAACACCTACGCAGTACATATCGGCTCCAACAAAAATAATCATCACCTTTTTTAGTATCACTACACTACAGGGGGATACCCCCGACATCGCTATTCCAGGGCGCCAACACTAGTAAGGATAGGTTCCAAACAAGAGGTTCAGAACTCTGACAAAGAAGTACCCATGTTCTCTTTCCTTTGTTCTTTGCCGTTTGTTTCAGAGCCCCCCTGTTGAATAGTTCGGTAATTACTAATGACTGCCGGATTCAACTCCCTGGCAAAGCTGATTTGCATTTGCTGCTGCTCTGATCCCCGTTAGGTGAATGTCATCGGATATGAGTCTGGCTGATAAATTGACAGGGCACTTCGATTGCCATTTGAAGCACCTGTTTCTGCGTTGATGTTAGAAGAGACACCCCGGAGTGATCAACTTGGAACTCATCTGAAGTTTTCGCAAATCATATTGTTTTTCTGCTGAAACTTGAAGTTTCGACATCCGTTTCTGTTTAAAATTGGGTGGAGTCTTGGAAAGCGTAAGTTATTCCAAATGTCCCTCGCCATTGACTAAAAATTCATCTACATGCTAATCGTGCAAAGGTCCGTTTCTGCTTCATAGGCTGAACCTCCTCTTTTCGACCTAGAATGCAGATAGATATGGTGAGCAGTTTATTAAGATATTTATTAGTCAATGGATTAGGCAATCATTCATCATAGCTCTCGAGAATCCCCTAGATCCTCTCTTCCCCCAACCTCTTGGGTGTCTTCATAGGACGGACGGCGCAGCCGCTAGGAACCCGAGATCCCCCGCGCAGTGAGTCAAGATATCGTCAAAATGGGGGCTAGAATCAGTTTGGATATCCAATTCCTTCCGCATTCTTTTCTTCGCCTCGGACTACTCGCCAGTAGTTATCAATTTCATGCATACGAACAGACACCATAGAACTGCAAAGGCCATCCGATTCGCCGGTTAGGCTAGCCGCCGGCTGTTCATTTTCGGCACAAGTTGGGTCCGGTACAGAATGACGCTTGATATATGCTCCGTAGGTTAACTCGGACGGCGGTGTGCCATTACTATTGCGAGGAAGCTCCTGCGGGCATATAGGTCACTATGGGCTGGTTTCGCCCCAAAATCCGAAAAAAATGCTTCGGGCTCGCCGGACCGGACGAGGGGCGATACCGGATGTCGCGCGTTTACGTTTTACCGTTATATCGTTTGCCGAGGTAGTTTAGCGTACGAATCCAACCTGGCTTTCGTTGGATATGAAACGATTGTTGTTCAAATTTGAAACATGCATACAAGATCTCTTCAAAGAATATAGTCCGCCAGCGGGATGAAACCCCCACAATAATAATTTTAAATTATGAGATTCATACTTCGGTATCAGGTGAGATGACTGATAACTGTTGGGGGTCCCGGGTTGATCGGCCCTTCTACCAGCAGTGCGTGTAGGCTACTGGGGCAAAAGAGCTCAGTCACCCACCACCAGCGCACTGCTGGTAGGGTAGAAGGGCCGATCAACCCCCGGGACCCCCAACACCCCCCCTCGGACCAGCTACCACAGAGTACTCCTCTCAGTGGCTCCTCTCAGTGGCTTCTCTCAGTGGCTCCTCTCAGTGAACTCACTTCTAGGGTTCAAGGGCTCACTTCTAGGGCACACTCCTAGGATGTCTCTTGGCACTGTTAAATGTCTGAGGTATTTGTTTTTGAGATTTATATTCTTAAGTTCATTCTGAGGTCAAACTCATGCATATTGATCATGTGCTCATAATCTAATATCTTGTAGAGAGTCTGAGAAGAAACAGTTTTATTATGTGTAAAAAATCAACTTCATCTATATAAAATATTTGATTGACTTCAGAATCATATATCTACTCTAAATATCTGTCTAATTATTATCAAACTAATATTTTTTGAATTCTCAGTCATTCTACTATTATCTCTGCTATTTTACAACTCACTATCTCTTCTCATTATATTATAATCATTGATAAAAGACAGTATGTCTTTTAAATTTCAAGATATTTAATATTAGACATGCTTCAGTCAATATTCTTTATCACTTAAAGATGAATTCTCTTTACAATTACTACAGTCTCTCAACAATGTAGATAATAAATATAATATATTAGACAGTGACTAAACAGAGCTTGAATCTATTAATACTTCTTCAGAATTTGAGATCACTGATACTGATACTGATACTCTGCAAGCTTGATTATAATTAAATTACTATAATTTACAGCAACTGTCTACAATATCTTATAAGTAGTAGAAAAGATAGTTAAAATTATCTTATATTATCAGAATATTACAGTAAAACAGTTGAGAAATGAAAATCTTTATAGAGACTTAAATTCAGAGTTCTGATATCTTAACTCATCAATAATACAGTACTTCTACAAAGTAGTAAAATACACTATATTCAGTACTTTTCAAAGCAGAAATATTCAATGATAATTAACATTATACTGTCTTACTTAAATAGAAGTTAAAATATCATATCAATACTTTCTTCTGTATAAAATTCAATCACAATTCTGATCTGAATATTATTAACATTCAGACTGCTTTTAAAATTATTCAGACTAATATATTAATCTGATTTGATCTACTTACTTCTATTCTAAAAAATAAATACATTAATTAAAAGAGTGTGACGGGCTGTATCTGATTAATTATATAGACTATTTTCTTACACTTCATAGATTTTCATTCTCTCATCTCAAAGCTCTGATTCTCAGCTGCTGATTCTTGACTGATTATAGATTCTTATTTTTTCATCTCAAAGCTCTGATTCTCAGTCACTGATTCTCAGCTGAAAAACTCATGAAATTTCTATTCTTCCGCTCTGAAGCTTTATTACATACTCATATAAATATTCACTTTAATCACTGATTTTCACACTTTCTCTTTTTTTCTTCTCTAACATTTTTTACTTTGTTATATATAGACTGGCCGCCGGGATCATGAATTTCACATTTGGTTCCATTTAGTCTGGTCTCATACATTTCTTGGTGTGAATCCCGCTGGGACTGACTATTAAAAAAACATGTAAAGTGACTATATATCAGATCTTAAAATGAAATCATGACTTGAAAAAAATGAGAAAGTGGTCTCATTTGATCTCATTTAGTCTCATTCTTAGCATAAAGTTACTATTTTTAGACATTTTAAGGTTTTTTTTAGACTATTTTTAATTTTTTAAAAAGTAATGCTTTTTGATAACACTTAAATGAGATTTAAAGTCATTTAAAGCAATAAAAATAATTTAAATTGAGAAGTGAAAATCATGGTCTCATTTGAAAAATGTGACAAGAGTAGACAGTAAGTCTTACTGAAACAGTATGAAACTACTATCTAATGTTAAAACTGTGTAATGAGATCAGTCAAATTGGTAATGAAACTATCAAAAAATCTGATTCTGGTCTCAGACACGGTCACACGGTCAGTCTAGTTATATAAGATCTATAAATATCATACTGATCTATTCAGTGTAGGCCTTTTACACTTGAAAAACATTTATTATCTTCTTATTAGAAATAATTATTCATGTTCATTATCTTCTTATTAGAAATGATTATTTATTGAGAAGATATCTAAATATATAATAATATGTAAGAAATAGAGAAATGATTAATCAGTTAAGCAGACACTGAGTCTTAATTAGTTAAGTAAATACTGAGTCTTTAAATAGAAGCTTACTCATCAGTTACTCTAACTCTGTAATAAAATTTTATAAAGAGAATATCAGTGAAAAATCTGAGAGTTTTAATATTGTAAATATATAAGATATTTATATAATTACACTTCTTTTGATTTTATAGATATTACATATCTAATGAATGATATAATTATATTCAATAATAATATAAGAGAACTCTTAAATATAAGTATAGATACAGTATTACAGTGACTCTGAGTAATATTAAAATTACAATAATAATAAATAGCTGATATGCATATGAATTAACAATATTAATACAAGAAAATTCAAGAGTTAACTTAATAAGAAACCCCTGCAATTTCAACACTGACAGAATTAAATATAAATATAATATAAGCACTGAAGAAACACTTAGATACTTCTACATATTTCAATACTTCTAATCTCACTCTCTACTTATCATGAAGGTTGGAAATGCTTGTAAAACTAAATGTAGATGAAGATATCATTGATTTATTAGCTAATTAAGATTAATATATCAATAATTGATTGAAAAATTGCATGAGATAGAAGTTTCATTTATGAATAAAAGTACGTGAATCAGTATTATATACATCTGATAATATTATTAAACATCTCAATATTCTGTTCTGAGATACTGCTATGTAGTATAAAGTATTAGATTGATTATAAAGTATTTAATAGAGAAATACTTCTCTCACTACATTTATTTCTGACTTTGATATTAAGATTCTAGAAGCAGGTAATCAATCTTAGAAGAACTGAATGAAGATTAACATGCTTAAGAAGACATTAACTTTTGAACTTTTATAAGTTTTTATAAGTGTAGACAAAGATCTGACTTATGAAGACTTCTGCATATAACTTCAGATATTAAATAACTGTATTATTAAGCTTAAGAGTATATAGAACAGTGATAGAAGATATTACATCTCAGTTACTTATATATCTGTGTCAAAGAATAACAATGCAGATGCTATGAATTAAGTGAACTTAAATATCTATATATAAACAAGAGTCTTTATTATCTGAACAAGTTTCTGAGTTTCTGAGATTACTTCTGAAGAAGTCAGTGATCAATATTAACAAGAGATATATATTAACTGTAATTAATCAGAATACATCACTTTCAACTGTTAATCAGCTTATATATCTTCTCACTCAAGAGAAAGATCAGTGTCTTCTTACTTAAAGAATGAATCAGTATCTATTCATGTCAATCACATTACATTAGAGAAAGATTCAGAAGATAACTATGATAATATCTTAATAAAACAGAGAAAAGATTAGCTTCTGTTCAAATTTACAAGCAGAAGCTTGAAGAGATCAGACAATGACAATTTAAAGAGAAGATAGTAATGAATACAATTCTTATATCTACTGTGATGAATAACATATATAATATAAAGATTATGATAGATAGCAGTCTATACTACTATACAATGATTAAATCTTCAGTTATAAGATATTATAATTTTCAGTGTATTCTCTTATCAAAATCTCAACTTCACACAGAATTTGATGATTCAAAAGATGTTTACACTCATTACATGATAAAACTAAACATAGATGTTAAAGAATATCAGTATGAGAATGCTTATATATATAAAGTTAACAATCTTAACTATAATCTTATGCTAGAACTTGTCTGACTATCTGAACAAGATATCTTATTAAACACTTAAAACAGAAGCTTGATATTCTCTAATAATGATAGAATTCACAAAGATGACATTTACAAAATCATGAATCTGATATAGATCTCTGTTAATACTTATAAAATGCTTTAAAAAGAAGTCACTGATAGTAGAATTATATAACAATCTATTTTATCAGTCTGATTAATATTAGAAAAGTTCTAGAAAAGTTATTCTATACTATAAAAATAGATTCTTATATCAAACTCTCTCAATAATATCACAAATATCTAGATATCTTTTAATAAGATAATATTATAAATATATCTCTCTTACAAGACTCAGAAGTGAATCACAGTATCAAGTTAGAAAAGAAAAATAATAAAGATCTTGAATTATTATAAAGCTCTCTTTATAACATGTTTTAGAATGAACTTCTTCTTCTTCAAAAGACACTTAATAATCTGTTGAATAAAGAATTCATATATATTAGTAACTCTTCTAATACAGTGTAAGAAATCCCGCTTCTCACGGATTCTTTACCTCTATTTCTATCTCTCATGTAATCAATAGAGTTAGCGGCTCTTGACTACACATAACTATACAGACTAGAGTTCACAAATACTATTCATAACTCAGCTTGAATGCTATTATACATTTAACTTCTACATTTTATCTTTCTACTGTGAATACTTCTAGTAGTTAATAGTACATATCATATCAAGCTATAAACATCTGAATAATTATCTGTAAGCACTTATTCTTACATTTCAAGCTCAGTCAGTCAGTAATCACTTATTATGACTGAAAGAACTAGAAACTTGTATACTTTAATTCCTGTGAATTCTACTGCAGACACTCAGAAGCAGCCACTCAAATCATGAATAACTCTTATAAAAGAAGTCTCAGAGAACTTATTAATTACTTATAAAACATTATTCTCTATATCTGTAACAGAGAAACTCTTCAAACTCATG